AGAGTGGGCTACACATCAGCATAGCTCTTTGTCTCAATCTAATTAAAATTAGATGTTAGATCCACTTTCATACTAGCTACACTAACATCTAACCACATCCCATTGAGGGTCATGTCAGAGGTCAAATTCTAACAACCAATCAAATCGTCGCTGGCAAAATCATCGTATATTGTTGAAGCGAATAAGTCTAGAGCTGTTCCGAATTTGACCTCTGACGTGACCCTCAATGGGATGTTGTTAGATGTTAGTGTAGCGAGTATGCTAGCGGATCTAACATTTAATTTTAATTAGATTGTCTTTGTCTGTACCCTTAATCATTATATACCTGATGTAATTTCAATTTTGAGGTGAAATTTTTCAGGAACCATTGGTACTGTTTTGTAGCAATCGTATCTTTTCGGGCTTTCCTGCAAGCTTGGAAAACATATCCGAAGTTGTCTTCCGAGCTTGAAGGACTGGAATTTAAGATAAAGCTAGCTACATGTTATTTATTATGATATTGAAAATAACTTTGCATCATAAGACAAAAGCTGCTGTTACTTTTTAGCTCACCTGAGCTGAAAGCTCAAGTGAGCTTTTCTGATCACCCGGTGTCCGTCGTCCGTCCGTCCGTCTGTCTGTCCGTCCGTCCGTCCGTCCGTCCGTCTGTAAACTTTTCACATTTTCAACTTCTTCTCAAGAACCACTGGGCCAATTTTGACCAAACTTGGTACAAAGCATCCTTGGGTAAAGGGGAATTTAAATTGTTAAAATCAAGGGCCAAGATCCCTTCCAAGGGGAGATAATCAAGAAAATACGAAAATAGGGTGGGGTCATTAAAAAATCTTCTTCTCAAGAACCACTGGGCCAGAAAAGCTGAAATTTATGTGGAAGCATCCTGGGGTAGTGTAGATATTAAATTGTAAAAATCATGACCCCCGGGGGTAGGGCGGGGCCACAATAGGGAATCCAAGTTTTACATAGAAATATATAGAACAAATCTTTAAAAATCTTCTTCTCAAGAACCACTGGGCCAGAAAAGCTGAAACTTATGTGGAAGCATCCTTGGGTAGTGTAGATATTAAATTGTAAAAATCATGACCCCCGGGGGTAGGGCGGGGCCACAATAGGGAATCCAAGTTTAACCTAGAAATATATAGAATAAATCTTTAAAAATCTTCTTCTCAAGAACCACTGGGCCAGGAAAGCTGAAACTTATGTGGAGCATCCTTGGGTAGTGTAGATATTAAATTGTAAAAATCATGACCCCCGGGGGTAGGGCGGGGCCACAATAGGGAATCCAAGTTTAACCTAGAAATATATAGAACAAATCTTTAAAAATCTTCTTCTCAAGAACCACTTGGCCAGGAAAGCTGAAACTTATGTGGAAGAATTCTTGGGTAGTGTAGATATTAAATTGTTAAAATCATGACCCCCAGGGTTTGGACAGGGCCACAATAGGGAATCCAAGTTTTACATAGAAATATATAGAACAGATCTTTAAAAATCTTCTTCTCAAGAACCACTGGGCCAGAAAAGCTGAAACTTATCTGGAAGCATCCTTGGGTAGTGTAGATATTAAATTGTAAAAATCATGACCCCCGGGGGTAGGGCAGGGCCACAATAGGGAATCGAAGTTTAACCGAAAAAAATATATAGAATAAATCTTTTAAAAATCTTCTTCTCAAGAACCACTGGGCCAGGAAAGCTGAAACTTATGTGGGAGCATCCTTGGGTAGTGTAGATATTAAATTGTTAAAATCATGACCCCCGGGGGTAGGGCGGGGCCACAATAGGGAATCCAAATTTTACATAGAAATATATAGCCTATTAGAACAAATCTTTTAAAAATCTTCTTCTCAAGAACCACTGGGCCAGGAAAGCTGAAACTTATGTGGAAGCATCCTTGGGTAGTGTAGATATTTAATTGTAAAAATCATGACCCCCGAGGTTAGGGCGGGGCCACAATAGGGAATCCAAGTTTTACGTAGAAATATATAGAACAAATCTTTGAAAATCTTCTTCTCAAGAACCACTTGGCCAGGAAAGCTGAAACTTATGTGGGAGCATCCTTTGGTAGTGTAAATATTAAATTGTTAAAATCATGACCCCCGGGGGTAGGGATTGGTCACAATAGGGAATCCAAGTTTTACATAGAGTTTATTGAACAAATCTTTGAAAATCTTCTTTTCAAGAACCACTAGGCCAGGAAAGCTGAAACTTATGTGGAAGCATCCTTGAGTGTAGATTTTTAAATTGTTAAAATCATGACCCTCGGGCGTAGGGCGGGGCCATAATGGGGAATCCAAGTTTTACATAGAAATGTATATAGAACAAATCTTTTAAAAAGATCTGCATCACCCAAGTTACTCAGGTGAGCGATGTGGCCCATGGGCCTCTTGTTGACATTAACGATTAAACGCAGAATTTCACGTGAATATGATAAAAATGAAATACAAATACAGTATTCCCAGAATCCCTTGCTCATGTTGCTATGGAGTCGATCATACGTATTCCAGTGAAAAGGACTAACATAGTTTCTAGCACAATTCGAGAGTGCTAGCAATAAGTTCTAATAGCGTTTTTACGACTTACATTTAGAGGACACAATAAATTTTTAAATCCGATAAAAATGAAATTTTAACAAAAAACGGATAAAAAGGAAATTTCATGAGATTTAAACAACTTCTGAATTTTAGGGCAAATATTAAAAGTAACTGTATCTTCTTCTTTCTATCAGTCCCAAAATTTTCTATAGAAAGATGAAATAACTATATTTGAATTTCATTATCAATTGATTTCATTATTAACTTACAAGTCTATATGAGACGACACTCGCCATCTTGGATTTATGGTTCAACTATGTTTTACACCAGTTCTCCAATTTCTCCATTGGCAAGTGATTTCTGGTGATATCTAGGTTGGAAAAAGATAGAAAGTCTTTTTCCTGTTGTCCTTCCTTGTTATGCAGATTTTTCAATTTTTTTAATCTGTTAAAAATAAGTACTACATGTTGCAGCTTTACATGTCAGAAAGTTATCGGTATTCAATCTACCTTACCATCATGTTCTTTTATCTCAGTCCCTCAAATAATTATGTTTTTAATTAGGAAAATTCAACATTGCCTCATTTGACATGAGCCATGTGGGGATATTTAAATCTCTTTAAGATTGCTCTTGTTAAAATAATTTTGCTAAAAATAATGTAAAACTATTATGTAAAAATCATCCTTTCCGATGGCTTTCTTTGTAGATTTCATTGTCAGGCACATGAATTTTGTAACCAACTTTATCTCATACTTAAGAGAAGAGAACATGGGTGCAGCATACGTGGAAGTCATTTGCAAGCGTTGTTTGAGGCATTTGCTTGTATGTTTGGATTAAAGAGTGCACTCAGGTTAGTATTTGATTGGTGTTTTCTTTGAGTACACTCAACAGGGCTCAACATTAATACTTGTCCGCTTGTCCCGTACCAAAGAAAAAAAAATACGGACAAGTGAATATTGCTGGGCACTTGTCCGATTGTACAAGTGATTTTTTATGTAAAGAAGTCTTCAAATACGAGTAATGATAATTTTAAAAAAAATGATTTAATTAAGTTTATCGAATAAAAAAAGGAAACATTACAGAAACCTGAATTTCGATCCCGATATCAATCACTATTTAAGTTCACACTTGATCGGGATCAATGTTCACTAATTGCAGCCATACTAGTATAATGGCAATCGGCAATCCTCGGCTGACTTCGCTTCGCTCCATTCAAACATGAGGTACGAGTCATCCTAGGAACTCCGATTGTTTGCATGGCGTGGATCTTACAACATTTGCGGGTTTGGAATATATTTGATTGATATTACAGATTCACTTGCAAACATTTATGTTATTGTTAGGACAGGAAATCTAGATAAAATTTTGTTTTATAAGTGTTTGTCTTATTTATCCATAAAAACAGTAATTAATCAAGCATGTTTAATTTTTAGCTCTACTGGTCAGAGACCAGAAGAGCTTATGCGATAGTTATGCGTCCGGCGTCCGTCCGTCTGTCTGTCTGTCTGTCCGTCTGTCTTTAAACAATTTTTCAAAACGCTACTCCTCCTACAATTTTAGTCTGATTTCAATATAACTTGGCACTCAAGTAGACTACACTAAGATACATAGAGTAGTGCATGAGTTTTTAATTTTGATGAACGGTGTTGCCATGGTGACTAAAATAGAATTTTCTTTGAAATTCGTTTAAAACGCTACTCCTACCACAGTTTGGTCTGATTTCAATAAAACTTTGCACACTAGTAGACTACACTAAGATACATAGAATAGTGTATCGGTTTTTTATTTCGATGAACGGTGATGCCATGGTTACTATAAATAAAATTTTCTGTGAAATTCCTTAAAAATGCTACTCCTTCTACAGTTTTGGTCTGATTTCAAAATAAGTTGGCACACAAGTAGACTACACTAAGATACATACAATAGTGCATCGGTTTTTTAATTTCGATGAACAATGTTGCCATGGTTACTAAAAATAGAATTTTCTGTGTAATTCCTTAAAAATGCTACTTCTTCTACAGTTTTGGTCTGATTTCAATATAACTTGGCACACAAGTAGACTACACTAAGATACATATAATAGTGCATCAGTTTTTAATTTCGATGAACGATGTTGCCATTGTTACTTTCTTTAATTCTTTAAAAACGCTACTCGTTCTACAGTTCTAGTTTGATTTCAAAATAAGTTGGCACGCAAGTAGACTACACAAAGATACATAAAATAGTGCAATGGTTTTTGATAAGTACCGTATATACTCGCCTATAAGTCGGTATTTTGGGAGTTAACTATTGGTCTAAAACTCTATGTCCGACTTATAGGCGAGTCGTAAAGAGACAGGTATTTTTCTTGGGGCTAAAAGGTAGTATCATATTTGTATTTCCGACGATTATCAAAGAAATTGTCTATATATTCAAGATAGTTTATGTTTTCTTAGATTATATAAAAAAAGTGCAAGTATATACATACCTGTATTTTAAGTAAATAATTTTATTTGCATTTTAAGTGACATTGTCTTTATGTTTGATACTTTAAGATTAAGTATCAGTGTCATTTCGAAAAATATTAATTGAAACAAGGCTTAAATATCAATGGATTTCCTTGAAATTGTCACCAGATTTTGGCAAAAATGTTGTACCGACTTATAAGCGGGTCAATAGCAAATCCCACCTAAATAACGTCAAAAATTACAACCGACTTATAAGCAGACCGACTTATAGGCGAGTATATACGATACATACCAGTAGAGCTACAGTCTTGACAGAGACTTCTGGTTTTATTTAAGCAATTGTTTTCAAGATATCAACTGAAAAAAATTTGGACAAGTGAAGTTGAAGTTCAGCCAAGTAAATATCTTGGTCACTTGTCCTTATGGACAAGTAGGAAAAAAAGTTAATGTCGAGCCCTGACCCAAGCGTGATCTTGGCATTTTGAAAATGAATGGGCCATCAATATAATCTGCAGGGCCATTTTGAGAAATAACAAAGTAACAAACAAATGTACAAAATACGAGAGAAAACACGTTTAATAAACCAAAACCGATTTTAAATGCATGAAATGCAGCAAATTTAAAGACACTTGCTTAGAATATTACTGACTCGTTTTTGTGTAAAAATTACAACAGTTTTGGAAAGGGAACAGCCCTACCATACAAATGAATAAAGTAAAGTACCTCATGTAAGTGTTTCGTTTAACCGGAAGTAGTATTTGAGAGGTTTCAACCAATGAGATTTGTTGTTTCAAAATTGACTGCATTTAAAACGAAAGTAAAAGAAGAAAGAAAGTCTTACCATAAAATATTACCAATTAACAATTTTTTTTTTCCAAAAAATCTGTTTTACACAATTTTTTTTTTCAAAATAAGCATCGGGGCGCCCCATTTTCATAGGGGCATTGGGGTTGAGAATCTAAAAATTAATTTTATGGGGCCATACATAGATTTTTTAAGATCTGTAATTTGTGTTTTACTATAAAAAAAAAGACTGTTTTGTTTTCAGAATCTCTTTTTTGGATTGTGCACTATAAGAACAAAAAAGAATGACTTAAACTCCTAAAAAAAAGCATGTATTAAAAAAAAAAATTCAAAATTTTCTTATGAATTAAAGCCTCCTATATAAACCAGCATACTTTCTGTGGTAACTTTTTGCTTTTTGTATGCACAAAGACTTTGTTAACTTGCCAAATGAAAACAGGTCACACTTATACTACACAAATCACAAACAAATAACATTGTAACGATCTTTATGAGATCCCAATAAATAACCTTTACAGGAACAGCCATATCGAAATCCTAACCTTTTTTTGCGTTATTGAGCACTACCTTTTTCTAAATAAAAAACGTAATCCCAAAACAGAAACCATTGTGCACGCACTGCAATGTCTCTGTTTTTCAAATTTGTTGGATTCTCATTCCCTGCTATCATAGCCCAGAGGTTTTGTCTGAAAACCAAAGGCCTTAAAAAATTTTCAAAGGGGAATAACTCGTTAATCGAAGAGGAATTGTAAAATTTTTGAATTGATTATGCTAGTGTTTAAGTCTATTAGCCCTGAAAATTTGAGCAAAAACCATTCAGAAATGATCACGATATGAAGCTCGAAGTTTGCGCATAGATAGAAAAACAATAATAGTAAAGTCTTCCGTTGGAAGCAGAAGACCTTAATGACTGGTGCCAAGTTTTTTCAAATGATTGTCAATTTATGTTTCAAAGCGGCATGGTAATACACAGTGTAAGATAAGATAACCTCACACTGCTGTCTTGATCACACTGGACGAACTCATCTCACACAGGATGTTCCTTTAAGAAATGATTTAAAAAGAAATATTATGCATTGCACCTTTTTGATTTACTGTTTGGTTTAAATTTCAGTAGTGTACCATGTCTGGAAATAGAAACAAAAAGGATTATGAAGCTAGAGATAAGTGGTGCAGCTGATATTATTTTCCCTTACACAATGTTTTCTCCATTTAAAGAAGCCAAACAAGGAACTCAGCATCCCTCAGTTGTTGCAGTTTGTGAGGTAGGATTGGTTTTTATCTTTATGTACTGTATACCGGGAAAATTTTGCCCCCGTTTTATTTTCTCCCCTTGATATTACCAAAAAAACCAATTCACATATATGCATTTTCAAAGTATATAGATTTACATTAAACCACAATACAATTAATAATATTTTGATTGTTTTTTCAACTAGCTTATAATTAGTGATTTTGTAACCAATTATCATCTTTCTGCCTGAATAAATTAGCAATGTTCCATTTCTAATTACTTTTTTTTTTTTTAGGTCAAAAGAGACAGTCCAAAACTAAACCAAAGTTATTCACCACTGAGCAGCAGAACCCGTACAAAAATAAAAATCAATTTTGAAGACTCAGCAATGCAAATTTCGTCAACAACTAATACAGAGGCTGCACACCACAGAACTGTTCTGCATCTTGATGATAAAATCATTGGCCAGCATGGAGGAGAACTTCTTTTCCATTTTTCAGACACAATAAAGAATGGAAAAATATTTGGATTAGTTGTGCAAGAAACACAGGTCTGATTAATTTTCTTTAATTTTAGGTCACTAGACTTCATCATTCATATTAATTTATATTTAGCTCATGAGCACATGAGCTTTTCTGATCACTTTCTGTTTATGGTTCATCATTCTGTCTATCTTAAAACTTTTTACATTTTCGACTTCTTCTCCAGAACCACTGGCTTTTTTATTTCAAAAACTGAATCACAAGAGAGGCTTAATGTATAACTTTAGAATGTGGGGTGAAAAAAAATTTAAAATCTTTTTTAACATGTTTGAATAAGATCTACTAAATCCTCTAAATTGTCCATAAATTTTGTATTTGAAACCATAAAGTTAATTTAATAAGAGTTAATGCTATTGTTGCTCAGGTGAGTGTTGAAGCCCCTGGGCCTCTTGTTAAAAAATAAGTTTCTTGGTGTTGTATTTCTATATGATCACCTATGATTTGGTGCTGGTGATTTGAATATCAGTGTTTCACCGGCGTCATTCGAAAGCATGGAGCATAAGACACTTGTTTGCCTGCAAATGTAGAGCTCAAAGTTAGCCAAAGGTTCAAGTGAGCTTTTCTTATCACCTGTTGTCCGTCGTCCGTCAGTTTGCTGTAAACTTCTCACATTTTTTGTTTCTTCTCTAGAACCACTAGGCCAAATTAAACCAGACTTGGTACAAAGCATTCTTAAATTTTAAATGGCTTAAATGAAGGGCAAAGCCCTCTTTAAATGGAAGATAAATAATGTATGATATACAATATTTTGTCAAAACAGTATCCATGAATATTGAAGATCATTAACCATGATTTTCATATAAAATGATAAAGGTGGTCTCATAAAGGTGATGCCTCCTCTCGGTGAGATTTGTAATCTGATTACCTACCCCGGTTTTTACACATTGAATGCTAGCTGAATAGAGGGTACTATTTTAAACAAATTTGAATGTGACACTTCCTTAAAGCTTGACAACAAACATTTTGGCTGACCAGTGCTATTACCAAAGAAACTTGCATAATAAGCATTGAAAATGAAAACAATAAGATTTGGAAATGTACAGTTAAAGTTGTGACTGTGCACCTTTGAATTAAATCAAATGAATACAAGGTCAAAAAAAATTAAAGAAAGCTGCTAATTTATTTTATAATTTGATATATTTCCTTATGAGAATTTTTTAACTCACCGAGACGAAGTCAGGGGGAGCTTATGCTATACCCTTGGCCTGTGCGTTGGCGTCTGGAAAAAATATGTATCAAACATGAATTATGAAATTTTTCTTCCAGTGACCTTGAACTTCCCCACATGACCTTAGGTCAAGGTCATGACACACCCTTGGGTCATGGGCAATCTTTGTGTGAAATGAGAACCTACCAAGTTTATCCATAAGAAAGATTAATGGACCGGACACGAATTATGAAATTTTTCTTCCAGTGACCTTGAAATTCCCCTAATGACCTTGGGTCAAGGTCATGACACACCCTTAGGTCATTGTCAATCTTAGTGTGGAGTAGTAGATTCTTATGTCCCTCTGTAAGAAAGATATGGACCAGACACAATTGCACAGACAGATGGACAGCTAGACAGATGGACGGACGGACAGACTGACAGACAGACAGACGGACAAGGTGATTCCTATATAACCCCTCCCCCCCAAAAAAAACTTCGTTTGTGGGGGGTATAACAAACCATATTTCTTTTTTTAAATTGATTTTATTGATGAAAATATGTAACTTACTCCAAAGCTGAGTGGATAATGTGTTGGGCTTGTGATCCGTTCATTCTGAGTTCAAATGCCACAGGGCTTTTGTTTTTACTTACTGAATTGAATTTTTTAGATATTCATTTTTTATTCCCGAACTGCAAATTTTTCGATCATTTGACATATTTACAGTTTATTTATCATTATATCTTTAATATAATCAAATAATTTACTGTTAATTTGTGTGACTTTGTCCAGGTGTGTTATTCCACCTTAAACTATAATATGAATGAATTGCAGAGGTAGCTTAAGATGCAGAGCTTGATCTCCAATATCAAGGATGCTAAAAAATATATCTTTGTTATTACTGGTCCTAACTTCACCAAACTTGAATGGATGGTGTGTCACCCTTGGGACAAATATATTGCCCTCCACTTAGCGTCAGGCAATATTTCGTCCCTCTGGGGCTATTATAATCAATATTGCCCTCAACCCCAGTCAATATTTGTATAATATTTTACTATATTACATGATGTAGTATCATATGATACATATCATATTATGTATCAAATATGATACAGTATCATACAATAGAATGTCATACTATATTATACAATATCATATCAAATGTTCAGGGTTGTCTCTAAGACCCGGGAGGAGGGGAATTCCCCCACCTATGATGCCTTAATTACTCGGCTATTTTTTGCATTTTTAACATAATGTAGCAATAAGCAAGACTCCCAGACCCCCTTCTACTTTTTTATTTCCTCCTTCTACTTCAATTTTTAGAGACACCCCTTTATGTTACAATATTGTGATCTATTATGTGATATGATATTGTATAATACTACATCGTATCATTTATAATATATTATGATATTGTATTATGTGATCAAATACAATAATGTATAACATGATACAATGTCATATCATGTTACAATATCATATTGCATTATTATTTATTGCGGTATTTTATTGTAATAATTTATATGATACATATTGTTGATATGATAGAATGCAATATAATTGTATTTATATTATCAATTAGTATTTTGTTGTATCATATGATGCAATATCATATTTTATATTATTGTATTGATAAACATTGTATCTTATAATACTGTATGAAATGAACACATGAATATCATACAATGTTTTAACAGATGATATACGATATTGTGTCAAAACAGTATCCATGAATATCCAAGATCACAAAGTGTGATTTTCATATAATATGATAAAGGTGGTTTCATAAAGGTGATGCCTTATCTTGGTGCGCTTTGTAATCTGTGATTACCTATGTTTTTCTCAAGAAACATCTTTAGTTACTGAGATGATCATTATTGATTTTTATTTTACTCTTAAATATGTTGAGATTTATCAAAGCAAATTTAGCATGCCTTGTTCTTTATGATGCTGATTTTTATATTTGTTCACTTTGTAGGTGACGTTTACTGTGCTGGAAATGAGTGTGGAACAATACAATGACATTGTAGAAGGTAATGTGAAGCACAGAAGTGGAGATCGGCCAACGTTGAAGGTTTCAAAACCATATGACTATTTGAAAACCCAGGATAGAGAATCTATCATAGAGGCGTTCATCAAACTTGCTATGTTACAGAGGAAAATCCTTTAAATCCTTGGGTAACATCAGATCTTCAGGATATAATTTGAAGGTGCTGTGTTTAGAAGTAGTGTAATGCAAATTATGGTACAAAATGTAAATAATGTAATGCTGATTATGTACTTGTTTTGTTCATTCCATGTTTTTAATTCTTTCAAAGTATCATGCTATTGGTTAAACAAGTAGTTTTGTGCAGGCATGTAATTTATCCCTAAGTCACAGTTAAAAGATATCTTTTGTACCCAGTACAACCCTCTGTTATGTAAGTGTGCAATGTGCTTAATTTTTTCGTATTTATTAATGAATTTAAGAAAATTCATTTATAAAAGAAGAAAAATTGATAGCTAGAAAAATTTGCAAAAATGTATAGTAACTGGAATAGAACAATTAACATTTTAATTATCATAAAATTTAAAAAAAAATTGTAAACTGTCCCAGTTTAAATTCAAGTGAATGCAATAACCATTGATATGCCTTTTTATCTTGAATCCTTTGATATCTTGAAGCTTTTCCAAGTCCTGTCAAGTTTGAGATAACAAAGTTTGACTGTAAATGTATAAATGTTGTAAAATGTTGCATGTATTATGATTTAGAAAATGTATTTAAAATCAGAGATATTTTTCATACAATCTGCATACTACATCAGAATGAAACTTGAAATATATGAATACCGTATAAGTAGAATTTTTAGCGAGGATTTTATTTTGGCATTATTAGCGAGGGTGATGAGATCGCTAAAATTGAATATCACTAAAAATTAATTTCATTAACTTTATTTGTAAAAGCCTCTTTAGTGAACTTTCTAAAATCGCTAAAATTATATCTCGGTAAAAATAAAATACCAGTTTTTAAGGACAAATCGCTAAATTTGCGTATCGCTAAAATTTCCACTTATACGGTATTATAATAATTTAATGCATATCTTTGTCAGTGAAATGATATGTAATTCTAGACTGTTTGGTAGGGATTTACTGCAATACATAACATGGATACTTTTCATTTTGAAAATTATATAGGCCTTAACTTAGACTACAACACCTTACTACTTGTATTATATTACCTTGAAAAATTAAACAAAAATGTTTCTAATGAAGGAAAAAATGTTTTTAATCTCTTTTCTTGATAGTTTGACATTAAATTTTAGTCATGCTATATAGAAACAAAATGCTAAACATTTTAGCTAGCTTTACAGTGGAGTGGGTGTATCCATACATATGTAGTATGACAATGTACATGATGTATAACGCACTATTCAGTGCTTTCTGTGTTATCCTAGCCTCCCAACTTCTTCGAGTGATCCGTACAACCACCTACTGTGGAATCATCATTGTTCATTGGGAACCAATGATTCCATAGTATCTGCATAACCGTAGCTCGAGGATGAAATTCCATTTTATGATATTCTTTCAGAGCTGTATTTTACTCAGATGCCTGATCAGTTGTTCAGAGCTGAAATGAATGTTTTATTGTTACACTGACAGTATAATGGCAGGAAATGAAATGGTAACTGTATTAAAAATTGATGTATATTTTTAAATATATCCCTGCCAATGACTGGAAGTAGCAGCTTTTTTTAGTTTCAGGCGGCCCTGAATATTACATTTGTAAATTATTTATATAGAGGAAAAGAAAACAAACGTGATTTTATACACGTTTATTTTGATATTGGCGATTGTTGGTCGTGGCATATTTAAAAGCAGCAAGGGGGTGCCAAGCAGGGCGACCCCAAATTACAACAAACAGCAGCAAACAACATGAAAGCATAATATTACATGTACATGTACTTATAATACGCAAATAATGGCCGTTCCGGATATACCGCAAACGGTAATTAACCTTACAATTATATTTTTTATGTACATGTATTTTAAATAAACTTTACAAGTTTACATGTATGTAGTTATCATTCCAGGTTATCAAACCTGGAAATTTACTCAAGATATTTTAGCAAGCAAAGCACTGTGCATGAAATTTGTTGAAAGCAGCACACATTTTGCACAGCATCTACGTTTGTTTCAAGCAAGCAAAGCAGACCAATTCATGATTTTGTTGAAAGCAGCACACATTTTCACAGTAAATGAGATTGTTTTAAGACGCAGCAGCACAATGAATTATAGCATCAGTTGAATGGCTCGGCGCAAACGCCACATGGCCGAAACCTTTGGAATCCACAGGTTTCGGTCACCCCACAAAATGGGGAAGCCGCATTCAACTGACCCACGACCAACCGCCCTAAATTTAACCTATTTACTGGGAAAACTGAAATACCCCCCTGAAAATAAATCTAGACCCCCCCCTCCTAAATTAAATACTTCCTTGTAATAAGTAGACTTAAAATATGCAATTTGCTTCAATTGATGTTTTAAATGTGTAAAGTGATGAGAAATTCAGCAAAAGTTTTAAACTTTTTATGTTAACTTACATAGGATTATTTTATAGCAAAATAATATATATTAAACCTGAATAATTCCTTGTACCAAGATGGTAAGAAGCATTTATATGGAGACAAAATATTGTCCAACCATAAAAATGTCTGATCC